GCACTCACATTCATGGAAGGGAAAAGGAAATTTTATCTTCAGGAATGCTCAGCAAGCAGCACCCACAACAAACACTCAAATGAGGCTAAGCAAATTACAATCCTCTGGTCTGTTGCAAACCCAGCCTTGCATTTAACTACTAGCCTGGTTGCCACCATCTCCTTGCGTGCAAGTGAGTGAATGGAATTCCCTTCAGACTGGTTGCCCTGTTCCTCCTCCACCAGCCTGCCTGGCGTCCGTATCTGCAGGGAGAAACGCCAGTGTTGGAACCAAGCAGACTAGTGAATGATGGAAAAATGAAAGATCCATCCCTCATCCACCAGCCTAGCTCACTGTATTTCTGTTCTGGCTGCAAAAGAAAGCAAGACCTTTCATCCATTGGCAGTATGGAAACAATGCATATTTGTAGATGGATGGGAAAATCCACCCCTCTTTTACCAACCAACTTTATAAAGGCAATTTTAAATTTTCTTTTTGCTAGCCTGTAATAACTTTTCTGGCTGGTCTACTTCATTGTGTAATGTGATAATAAAGATTTTCTTTTCCATTTTAACAGAGAAAGCCTTTGAAAAGAAGTATACTAAGGAGGAAACAGAACAAGAAACTACAAGCACTCAGGTTCCCTGTTATGAAGGCACTATTCTCAGTCCTAATAATGCTTTAATTTTATTGCAAGTGGCTGGAGAGTCCTCAGACTGTCATGCTAAGCTGTAATCACCTCCTCTTGCTTATTTAGTGCACTATAGACTTGATAATTACGTCAGTTATTACTCAAGAATCATTGACATTGCTACTCCCCATGATGCATATTAACTCTCTATGCTAATGATACTTTTTCAGTTGTAAAGATTGCAACTCTCTCCTCCAACTCATACAGGAGAGGGTGCTCTGTTTGCAAAGCTTGGAAAGTATTCAGCTGTGTGATAATACTAGCAGATGGAAGACCAACAAAGTACACCAGGTAGAGCACATCTGTTCATAGCTAGTGTGAGGTTTGAAACAGGACTGTAAATCTGATTCACTTTCCAAGCAATTAAATCTATTCATTCAAATATGAATCCTGAGTTTCTGGGCAGGCTAATTGATCTAGAACAGGCCTGCTTTGTCCGCTGCAGAAATATAGCTAATCCAATATGCAAATTATTAAATGTTGATTTTAGCAAAAGATCAGGCTGTCCTCTGGCAATCGTTAGTTCTAGATGTATTCAAGGCCTTTGATCGCCTAGAGTGGGGGCAATCTTAATCAGAGTATTGACGAAAATGAAATCTGGCCCCAAATTTATTTATTTTAGTAAAGCATTCAGCTTCAAAAGCAAGATTAGAGTTAACAGTCTCAATTTGGAACAAATCCCGATTTTGCGTGGGACAGGACAGGTCTTATTCCCTTTTCTGTTTATATTACCACTTGAACCTAAGACCAGCCTTCTGGATGAGGCCAGTGGTCCATCTAGTCTAGCATCCTGCTCTCACAGTGGCCAAGCAGATGCCTGAGGGATGCCTGGAAGTTGGACATGAGTGCAATAGCACCCTAAGGTAAAGGTAAAGAGACCCCTGACCATTAGGTCCAGTTGTGGCCGACTCTGGGGTTGCGGCGCTCATCTCGCTTTATTGGCCGAGGGAGCCGGCGTACAGCTTCCGGGTCATGTGGCCAGCATGACTAAGCCGCTTCTGGTGAACCAGAGCAGCGCACGGAAACGCCGTTCACCTTCCCGCTGGAGTGGTACCTATTTATCTACTTGCACTGGTGTGCTTTCGAACTGCTAGGTTGACAGGAGCTGGGACCGAGCAACGGGAGCTCACCCCGTCGTGGGGATTCGAACCGCCAACCTTCTGATTGGCAAGTCCTAGGCTCTGTGGTTTTAACCCACAGTGCCACCCACGTCGCTAGCACCCTGCTCACCTGTAATTCCCAGCAACACTGTCTCAGACGGTGGAGGTAGAACATAGCCATTGTGGCTCATAGAGATTGATATCCTTAGCTATTCATCCTTGGCTGAACCCAAATATTAATGGCCGGCAATATTATGATGACCAGCCACCCGTTGTCCTCTGGACACAGCTGCAGCCTTGCAAGGAGAACTGACTGGTTTTGCTAAAGTGGCCAGACTTAAATGGAATTTCCAGGTGTATATTCTGCTCTAGGTGGCTTAGTTTGGTCAGAATCGAGTAACCATTCTAGAGTTAACACAAAATACATTACTTCTGGTAAATGAGCCACCATCGCCATTAGAGGGTTATGAAAATTTGTGTCCTGGGCTTTTTAGACTCATGTATCCATCTACTAGGGACGCAGGTGGCGCTGTGGGTTAAACTACAGAGCCTAGGACTTGCTGATCAGAAGATCGGCGGTTCGAATCCCCGCGACGGGGTGAGATCCCGTTGCTCGGTCCCTGCTCCTGCCAACCTAGTAGTTCAAAAGCACGTCAAAGCAAGTAGATAAATAGGTAAATGGTGTTTCCTTGCGCTGCTCTGGTTCGCCAGAAACAGCTTAGTCATGCTGGCCACATGACCCAGAAGCTGTACGCCGGCTCCCTCGGCCAATAAAGTGAGATGAGCGCCGCAACCCCAGAGTCGGCCACGACTGGACCTAATGGTCAGGGGTCCCTTTACCTTTACCTTTATCCATCTACTATCTGAAACCAAAGGGGCTCATTGGTTGCCAGATGTGAATTCCCCCCCCCCTCCAGCTCTCCTACCCCACTATTTAAACTGTGTTTTTGCTTTTTATTATGGCATATATTTTTGTGTTTTTATATTGTAAGCTCCACCGTGGTCTTCAGATGAAGGGCGGTATATAAAATTAATAAATGAAATACATATAGCCAAAGGACCGTTTATTTTTTATTGCGCAACGAAATCTATAACCAGCTGGAAGACTCTTTGGGAAAGTTGGATAAAGACTTGATGCCGAGCACTGGCTGTTCACAACCTTCCTTGTACTTTTAAGTGTACTAGCAATGAATTGTGTATATCAGGGCTTTCCAACTCAGCAGCAGTGGCAAAACTGTAACCTTCTTATCAGTCGCTGGTGCTATGGAAGGATGTGGCAGATTTGCTTCCCTTTACTCCTGCGACCTCTAGTGGGTCATGTTGAAACAACAGCCAGAGTTCCCTTTTGAAGATCTGACTGCTGTAGAAAAGAGACTATTGGGTTGATGCTTTTAACTTCAGCGATCCCTCCTAACAGTCCTTAAGCATGCTAGAATGCCCAACCTGCTGCTCTTGGGGTCTATAATCGTTAAAGCACTATCAATCACCATCACATTGTTCCGCTGATAATAGTTATGATTATTACCATTTTATTAATCTCCCCGTGCTTGAATAGTGTCATTAGTCAGGACTGAATGTAGTTGCTCAGATGCTTGATCATCATCACTGCCATCATCAATGAGTAGGGAGAAGAACATTTCTGAGTTTTTATTGCTCACGGGGAAATGGGGCAGGATGGAGACAGCTTGTGTCTAGTCTGTGAGCAAAACGCAGTGCCATAGCCCTTGGCAGCAAGGGCGAAATGTGTTTGCCAAGGCTCCTTAGACATATTAGGAGGTGTGAATATTGTCTTCTCTGCTCCATCATCCATACCAATGGCCAGTCGGCTTCTGGTCCCAGTTACTGGCTTTCATATATTTATATATTCAATTTTATATTTATATATTCAATTTTATATTGTTCAAACCATGTCTTACTCCCTTCGCCACCATTAGTGTCCATGGAGGGTTATATAATGCTTTAAAGCCTGATAAAACAAGTGCAGTACAAATATCAATTGACAAAGGTTAATAGACAGCAGCACTGATAAAAACAATCTGATCATCCAAACCCTAATCATTGTGCAGCGGGCCTCAAAGCCTGATAAAACAGGCATGACTTCACTTAAACTATAATAATGTTGGTCCCACGCTTGGAAGGGCAATCCAGAGCTGCTGTGCCACCAAAGAGAATTATAGAATCATATAACTGTAGAGCTGGAAGGGACCACAAGGGTCATCTAGTCCAACCCTCTGCAATGCAGGAATATGCATCTGTCCCATACGGGGATGGAACCTGCAACCTTGGCATTATCAGCACCATGTTCTAACCAACTGAGCTATCCCCTGTAGACATCTGTTTTAATTCTGGAGGCAGGGGAGGGAGCACAGCCTCTGTGGAAGACATGAGACCTACTCTGAGGAAGATCTGGGACCACTGTTTCAGCAAGGGACTCCGTGGAACCTGCATGGGATCCTCTATATAGAACTGGCTTCAGAAAAGGTTGCAAGGCACACCTATTCTGGCTGGTTTTGGATTTGGCTGGTTATATGATTCTGAGAGCCGTGGTTAGCCATCCTTGGAGCAGACTCTTTGAAATCCATGGAATTAACTCAAGCCACGCTGGTTTCAGCAGTCTACTCCAAGCACAGCTAACAGTGCAATCCTAACCATGTCCACCCAGAAGTCCTACTGAATTCAATGGGCTTACTTCCTGGTAAAAGGGTTTAGGATTGCAGCCTTAGTCTGGATCCAACCTATTGCTTTTATATTGTCTTTGAGGGGGTGGGCTATTGGGTGGGGTGGATTTCTTTGGTTATTTTAAAACTTTAAAAGGTATTACACTTAAGGGCTCTGACCAGTTTTTAAACATATTTTTTAAAATACTGTAGGTAAGTAAAATGTACCACGGTTCAAGCTATCATACCTGTTGCCTGATCAAAGTGTCCTGAGGGCTACTTGTAATTACCTAGTGGCCGTGGAGAACCCCAGTTTTCCCCGTTTCTCTTTAATTTTGCAGAGTCCTTTGTCACTCCATGTTAAAATCCGAGGTAAATCATACTGCATGCCCATGAGGTTGCAAAATAGGAGACATAATAAAAAAGCGATATTGAAAGACACGTGTTTGCAATAGACAAACACGGGATAAGTTGATTGTTTCTCTCTCCCCCCCCCTCCCCATTTGCAGCATGGGGAAACAGGCCCCACCCCACAAGTATGAAAAAGATTTTCTCAAAGCAGGAACACGCGCTCTGTTGAAAACAAGAACCCGCGGAGGTTTCTATATTAAATTTACAGTTTAAAATACAATCACTGCCTGTGTTTGAACGCAAGGATCTGTGCGTTGCCCATGATGGTGATGGTTTTCATGCAGAAAACCAGTGAAAAGGAAAGGAAGGAAGGAAGAAAAGCACACTGTTGGCATGCCGGCGTCAAAAATAAAACCACTGGTGAAGTTCTGTCAGTCGGATATTTCAGCAGTGCCACTTAATTTGGCTGCTGCGGGGCAAGAAGCGAGACAGAGGCGGGCGCAAGGCGCTACCTTTTCGGCACCTTGGAGAGCTCCCCGGGCGCGTAGCTGCGCGCGCACTCTGAAGCGCAAGCAGCGGGGGCAGAAAGGCAGCGCTGTATATGAATGACTGCACCGGAGCGGAAGGCAGCACTCGGGCGGCAGTTGCGGCCAGATCAGAAGGATCCGGAGAGGCTCCGCTTCCAAAGACCAGCGAGACGCCGTGCCCAATCCGAAACCCAATTCCTATCCCAGCTCCTTCTGTGCAGCCGGCAAGCGGGGTTGCTTTCTGGAGATCACCCAACAAAGTCAGAGCAGCGACTGGGTCACTGTCTGCCCGCCGCCTTTGGATCTGAAAAGCTCCTTTTGCAACCGCCTTTGGATCGGTGCTGGTTGTTTGGCAACGCGATCCCTCCTGCCACCTCGTCCATGTGAGTTTAGCAGAAGGGAGACCCGGCCGGCAGCGCCCCTTCCTCCTTGTGAAAAGTTCTCCGCAGGATCCTCGCCCGGGACTTTTTTGGAGCCGCCCTCGTTGCCTTCCAGCTCGGTCGGTGGGGCAGAGACGGGCCGAAGCTCCCGTCTGCCATGGGATGATGGATGCCCCGTGTGACTACAGCTACTGCTCCCTGGCCGCCAGCATGAAGGACGTGGAGCCCGGAGACTCGCTGGGCTCCTTCTTCTCCAGCTTCCTCGAGGAGAGGCTGTCGAGCAACCGAAGCAACGCGTCCCTGCAGGAGCTCTGGAGGAGCCTCGTCCACCTGGAGCGAGCCGATGGGCCGCAAGGCAGCGGCTCGCTTGTCCTGAGGGTCTTCATCTCCACCATCTACTCCGTGGTGTGTGCCCTGGGGCTAGTGGGGAACCTCCTCGTGCTCTACCTGATGAAAAGCAAGCAAGGCTGGAACAAGTCCTCCATCAACCTCTTTGTGACCTGCCTGGCCGCCACGGACTTCCAGTTTGTGCTGACCCTGCCCTTCTGGGCGGTGGAGAACGCCCTGGACTTCACCTGGCTCTTTGGCAACGCCATGTGCAAGATCCTCTCCTACGTGACCACGGTGAGCATGTACGCCAGCGTCTTCTTCCTCACAGCCATGAGTGTGGCCCGCTACCACTCAGTGGCCTCCGCCCTGAAGAGCAAAAGGCCCGGCGGACTTTGTGGGGGATGCACTTCGGCCAAGTGGCTGTGCGTCCTCATCTGGCTGGTGGCCATCCTGGCTTCCCTGCCCACTGGCATCTACTCCACCACCTCCACCATCTACACAGAGGAGGAGTTCTGCCTGGTCAAGTTCCCCGACAGCCAAGGCAACAATACTCCCTTCTGGCTGGGGCTGTACCATGCCCAGAAGGTGCTGCTGGGCTTCCTCTTGCCCTTGGGCATCATCACCCTCTGTTACTTGTTGCTGGTGCGCTTCATCAGCGACAGGCACATGGGCGCCAGCTCCTGCGGTCCCAGCACCAAGCGCCGGTCCAAGGTGACGAAATCAGTCACCATTGTGGTGCTCTCCTTCTTCCTCTGCTGGCTTCCCAACCAGGCGCTCACCATCTGGGGCATTTTCATCAAGCTCAACGTGCTGCCCTTCAGCAACGCCTACTTCTTCTCCCAGACCTACCTGTTCCCCGTCACCATCTGCCTGGCCTACTCCAACAGCTGCCTCAACCCCATCTTCTACTGCCTCATGCGCAGGGAGTTCCGCAAGGCCCTCAAGAAGTTGCTGTGGAGGATCACTTCGCCTTCGCTCACGGCCATGCGCCCCTTCACTGCCACCACCAAGCCAGAGCATGAGGAGCAAGCCTTGCACACCTTGATGCCCATTGACCCCAGAGCTGTTTCTGCTGCTCCAGCTGCTCCTGCAGCAGTCAGCTTGCCTGACATCATCTCATATCCCCCCGGGGTGGTGGTCTACAGTAGCCGCTCTGACTTCTTGCCCACCACCACCTCGGCCGAACTGCATTTATAAGCTTAAGGGGCTGAGTGAGGCTGTGATGTTTCCAATCTCCAGGGTCAACAAGTCAGGGTCTGTGTTGGAGCGCACCCCATCTTGGTGAGTGGGGGAGCCAAGCAATGTGCTCCTTGGATTCTTCCATTCCCAAAGGGGGGAGGGAAATGTGTAAAAAAGGTATGGTTCAGTCTAGTCAAAGGCGACTATGGGGTTGTGGCGCTCATCTTGCTTTCAGGCCGAGGGAGCCGGCATTTGTCCACAGACAGCTTTCTGGGTCATGTGGCCAGCAGGACTAAACTGCTTCTGGTGCAACGGAACACGGTGATGGAAACCAGAGCACACGGAAACTCCGTTTACCTTCCTTCTGCATCAGTACCTATTTATCTACTTGCACTGGTGTGCTTTCAAACTGCTAGGTTGGCAGGAGCTGGGACAGAGCAACAGGAACTCACCACATCATGTGGATTTGAACCGCCGACCTTCTGATCGGCAACCCCAAGAGGCTCTGTGGTTTAGACCACAGCGCCACTCACATCCCATAGGAAATGTGTGTAGGGCTGTTCCATAATTCAGGAAATGGGACCATAGGGAGCTGAGTCAGACTAGTGGTCCATCTGTCTCAGTAATGTCTCTGCTGATGGGCAGCATTTATCCAGGGCTGCAGACGACATTCCCTGCCCTGCCTGGAGACTGAACCAGGGACTTTCTATATGCAAGGCAGATGCTCTCCCACCCTTTCCCCAAATAAAGGTGTGTGTGTGTGTGGCATTTAGGAAATCAGGGCTAGCCCAATACAGTTTGCTGCAGGTGCAAAGGACAAGATCCTTCATCCCAACCCCTAGTTCTATATACTGAACTTGGCCAGATTGGCAGTTGAATTTTACTTCAACGCTGGTGATGATGGGATAGTGGTCTTCACCACAATAGAGTAGCTAGCTTAAGGGGTGCACTCTTCTGTCCTCCAGCAACCACACCTGGGGCAGCTGCTTCACTCTGCCTAATGGAAGAGCCAGCTCTGTAGTAGTGCTTCCCAATGACAGCAGAAGGAGTTGTCTTAAGGTAGTGAGTTTCTGGACTGGTCCAGGGGAAGCAAGGTATGTAAATCCATTCCTGGGGACTTTCTGGTTTTACAGGAATCAAGAAGATGGAGTTCCTGCACCTTATGGGAGGGGGATTTGGCTGGCTATTACATCTTGTTGGGGGGTGAGAGACTTTTCTGTAGAGGAAGGTCCCTCAGAGGGTTCAGTTCCTGTGGAGATGAAACAAGGTTTCTCAGGGACTTCTCCAGGACTGATGTTCTAAGTATGTTCCATGTTCTGAGTGCCCATATTGGGATCTGTGTTCTTAAGGGGACGGTTGAAGATGAGAGGGAAAGAGATAACAGGTCTTGCTCTAATCCTGGTGTGAACCTTTGATTCAAAGGGAGAGGGAACAAGAGGAAGCTGGGTTGTAGTTTCGGATGCATCTGATGAATGAACCTTAGTCCATTCATATGCTTAACCAGTGCAGTTGTGTTGAAGGTGCCACAAGTTTCTTTCCTGGTGTGTATTTGTTCTGGTTTTTTTGCTGCAACAGACTAACATGGCTGTTCTCCTGGAAATGGCTCCTCCTGGAAATATAGCACAAACATACCCTTTTTTCTGAGAGATGATTCAGTTTGCGAACTAGCAGAGGATATCTGGGATTTCAAAAGAGCATGATAAAAAAGTAAAGCTGTGCTGCCAAGGTGGGTGGTTGAGACCAGATGGTGGTGCAAACTCATTTTGTGAGGAAGGTTGTAAAAGATCCAGGAGCTGACATACAACAGGCTTTTCCTGCCAAGTCTGGATTCCAGAACAGGAAAAAGCTCCTTTGGGGGCAGCATCCTGGTTCCAACAGTGGCAAGGAACATGTCCCATAAGAGGCAAAACCCCTTCCCTGCTGTTTGGTACCAGTGTTTGGTATTTGGTGGTACACTGCCACTGCACATGGAAGTTCTATTTGACTGTAATCACTAATCATGTTGGTTGAGCTGCCCTTCATGGAAATATTTAACATTTGAAGTAATTGCCCTTTTCTTGACCAGCTTCTGGAAAGATTCTCTCTCCAGTATACCTGGTGGCAAAATTTCTACCCAAGACTCATTCACTACCTAAAAGTCTTGGACTTCACACTTGAACCATAGGTGACCAGTTTTTCTCCTCCTTCTGACTCCCTGTTTTCAAAACCTCAGCTCTTACATTCTTTGCCACCATTTACCCCCATGCAGAGAGATAATTCTCTCCAATTTTGATTTCTATGGAATGTTCCATTCTCCATGGCTACTACTGTAGCAACACCATGTTCACACACAAGGGCTGGGATTGCACCAAAGACTGCTTGTTGCAATGTGGGGGCACGCTATTCTTGGAAATTAATGTGAACTAAAAACCTGGGGTGATGTTCTGGGTCTGGGGGAAAAGGATGTTTCAAGGCAAAATGTTTTGTATTAAAAAATTCTGTATCAAAAGTATGAACCTTGTTATCTGTAGATTATTAAACCACCATATGCATATTACATGGAGCATTCTTATTACTTCGTAAAGCCTTGTCTGCAGCCAAGCATTGCCTGGAAAGAATCAATCCCTCTGCTCAGCGGAAAGACACTTAAACTTCAAGTATCTCTCTTGTGTTGATGCGTGTGCCTTTGTGCACATAACTGGCTGTTCTAGAATTAGGGCACTTCTCAGATGCTTGTGTTGTTCATTTGAATTTCAAAAACCAAACACACGAACCTGGCAAGAATTCTCCTACAGCAAACTCCTAAGATTTCATTAATTCTGCTTTACCTTTAGTTGCAAAGTTGGGCATGCCTCTTTGGTTTCAAGAGTACACATCGACTTTCTTAAACAAGAAAAAAATAGAAAATGGGGAGAGGTGAATGGTTGGTTCTCCTTTTGCTCCCCAGCAACAGAGGCATTATGTGCATGTCAGGCAAATCCCTCTCCTCTGCTGTCCACTGCATTCATGCTAGATCTATGCTACCATCACATTAGCACAAAGAGAAGAGTCTACGGCTCTTTCAGTCACCTGCCTTCAAGTGTCATAACTGCAAAGAACACTTCTACCACATTAGCAAATACTGTACGATGCACGCATTGTTACTTTGGGCTGCAGATCAAAGCAAACCTCTTGAAAGGGATGCAGGATCCTGTTTTGTAACGAAGTCCATCTAGCACAGGATTCCCTCCACTTGCTGGCAACAGCTCTTCGGGGTTTCAGATGGGATGTTTTTGCAGCCCTACCTTGAAATGCCCAGGGATTGAAATGAGAACCCTTTGCATCCAAAGTATGTGCTGTACCACCGAGTTAAGGCTCTGGTAACCTAGCCTCTGCCATAGATGCATTAGATGGCCATAAGTAAGCCATTTTCCTTCCTTCTCCCACATTGCATGCAATATGAATGGGTGGTATTCCACTAACGAGTCCCATTGGTGCAAGAATTTCCACTTGGTGCAATGACACTTTCCTCTCTCTCATAGAATCTTAGAATTGGAAAAGTCATCTAGTGCAGCCCCATACAATGCAGGAATCTTTTGCCCACCGTGGGGCTCAAACCCACAACCCTGAGAGTAAGAGTCTCATGCTCTACCAAGTGAACTATCCCAGCTCAGTTCTCCTTTGCCTGCATGCATCCTTCTCAAATCTGAGGCAGCCCCTTGAATAGATTTTGGGGGGCATGTTGGCCAGGGGAAAGAGAAGGGGAGAAGATTCTGTTGCCCAAGCAGAAATGCTTGCACTATGGAATAATTGCCTTAGCAATTTGATTCCCCCCAATATGTCCCAACTTACAGGGTTGTAGCAAGGATCACAATGTATAGGAAGTGCTTGAAACATTCCAAGCACTAAATACATGCTAAGTAATTTGGGGGGAGTATTCACCGTAGCAACAGAGTTGAATTGCTATGGATGTCTCTATTGCTCACCCACTGACTCAGCTGACATCGACCAGTTATTGTAAAAGTTAGATTCTGGGCTTAATTATCTCATTTGGAAGTGGGTGGGTGGGCTCCAGACTAAGTAGTCTTCTGGAGGGTAATGTATATGTTTTCATTTGCTTCAAAATGTGGTAAGACAGATGTGCTCTTTAGGGGGGCTCCTACTCAAGGACCCTTGCACATCTGCCCCAAAGTCCTGCCCTGATAGCACTCCCATTCCAAGTCATGACAAAATGATATATTCTTTATTTCCCACCTCATTCAAACTCCTAACCCTACCACCTTCCTGCTTCCTGTCCTCTTTTCCCCAGCTCCTCTTTTCTGCCCCTGCTCTCTTTCCACCACCATCCACTTCCTTCAAGTCCCCTTGGCATTCTGACACCCCCTGTCCTCACAGTTGCCCCTTCTCTTGACTTGCTACCTCCAGAAGTCCCTTCCTCTGCTACTCCCAGGTCCACTAGGTTGGGAAAAGGCTGTAGCTCAGTGGTAGAAATCTCCTTTGCACACAGGTAGTCCCAGGTTCAGTCCCCGGCATCTCCAGGTAGGGCTGAGACAGACTCTTGCCTGAGACCCTGGAGAGCTGCTTCCAGCCAGTGAAGACAGTTCGGAACAAGATGGTCTGGCTTGAGATAAGGCAGCTTCCTGCTCACACCCCTCAGAGTGGTTTAGCTGGTGGCAGGCAAAGGAAGATACTTCTCTGTACTGGAAGATAAATATTATATAGTACAGTATAGATATAGATGTTGTTGCTTGAGTGACAGATAATCTAAACTGGGGGTGGGGAAAACCTCCAGATGTGATTGGACTCCAAATGTCATCAACCCCAGCCAGCATGGCCAGTGGTCAGAGATAACATCTGGAGGGCCATGGCAAAGCCATTCTTAGTCTAAAGCAGTGATTTTGGACTACAGTTCCCCTCATCCCTGACCACTAGTCTTGCTAGCTAGGGATGATGGGAGTTGTAGTCCAAAAACATCTGGATACCTAAGTTTAGGAAAACCCTGGTCTAAAATATGAACAGCCAGAATCTAGATATAGGTTGACTGCACCAAGCACACTTTGCTGTTAGATATAATCACCAGCCCTTTTTTCATTTCTGCTTTTCCACAGATCGCTTCAGTAGGTGCTGAAATGGGAGCTGAATTATACCGTTCCTGGAAGGCTTAAAATAATTGTCACTTGAGTGCAGTTGCTGAATGCCTATCATTTTTCAAAAGCTGAAGGGTGGCGGGGGTGGGGGTGAGTTTGTATGTATGGACAAAAATAAAATGAAATAAAA